AAAGCCAGTAACGTCTCAGCATCATCGAACAGGGTATGAATGTCCTGCTATGATGCACGTCTGCACATTCAAATATATTCCATTCTTTTAATGTCTATTGAAACAATTCCATGCATACCTCAAAAGGAAATACTATATTTAGAAAAGATCACTAAAGATGCTGGGAAAATGTCCGGCTAAATTAATCACTTCAGGAAACAAGTTGTTCCTCGTTTCCTGGTAATTTTTTTTTAATGATGTTCATCCAGTACAACGTCCAAGAGCAACTCGATATAGAGTATTGTAGATTTTATGCGTATATGTGGGGAATGAATCCTTAAACATACAGTTTACTAATCGGAGAAGTATCGCTTTGGGGGCCGGTTCCACAAAGCAAGTGTTTATGGGAAGATCTTTCTCGAGTGGAAATAACATCTCACCAATTGAATACAAAAGGAGTGAGGGTGGATCGCCCCAATGTGCCTGCTTTAGCATTAAAGGTTAGAACTGGTTGAACTAAGGAATGTATGTCGTCTGAACACTTTCCGGAGAAATAACGATAGAGTACTGAAAGACATGCGAAGTTTCATCTATGGGAAAGGGTCTGATGGGTAGAAAATACTTTGTCACCCTCAAGGAAGAGAAGATGGTTTTGTACTCCATCGCTCCTGGAAAATGAAGACTGGTAAATCCCTGCTCATATATGCTATCAGTACTCCGGGATAGTGGAAACCACCCATGTTTCCAGCATCTTTAGCGATGGAATATAGATGTTCCACTTGAGCTGTGGGTTCATTTATTACTTTAATAAAATATGGCGACAAAGATTAGGGCAATAGTTCAATAATGCATACGTGTACAAAATACCTCATCTCAGAAATAACGATAGAAGAATCTACCCCCTTCGACTAAATAAAGGTTGTGGTTCGAAGTTCAAACCTATATCACCTGAAGAAGTCCGCGACGTACAACGACTGAAACGTGGTCAATATGACACAAAACATATGGGCAACAGCCCAAACAATGTAAGTAATATAAATAGTTACAATGCCTTATCAGGGAGATATAGACAAAACATATAGACAAAACATTTTTTTTATTTTTATCCCTTTTTAACTTACTACTTAATTTTGGATTTTTTTCTTTGCGTCTTTTGTTTTATTTTTTTCTCTATATCATTTTTTTTACCCCGAATAAAACTTGTTCATTTTTCAATAACCCTACCATCCATACACCTTCACCCACCCATAGTTTAAATAGTGGCGAATATTAACGCCTGAAGACGTCTCTAGAAAGCCAATTAAACACCCGTTAGATTAAGCCAAACATAAATCTCATTAAAAAGAAAGAAAGAACTGACCGAATACTTTATCCTTTACAGTTATACCTGTTCAGTTCTATCAATATAATTTGCTTTACATGAAACACCTTTTTTAATATGAGTTGATTTCTAACATTATTTTATACCATTTTTTATGTTTACAGCCTACATTCTATACGCAATTTCATAAAGTAAGATCTACCCTGGTCCGTTCGAATTATAAAAACTCTCTAGCACGCAATATTCCTTTTGGGAAATATACATAACTCGCCATTTTCCCGTTTGGAAATCTCTTTACCAGAAACACAGAACATGAATATGGCGCGCGCGAAAATTTCTACTGGAAAATATATTAATATGGCTTCTCCACAACTATCGAAATATAATCCGGAACCTTGAATACTCGTTGGGAATTATTACAAATGAGACATGGTCTCACTACAACTCTTTCACACTATTTGTTGTGGCATATATGTAGTATAATTTCTATGTTGGGGACGATATTCAGTCACCCCTCCCCCACGAGGGTGTCATGTGGCACAAGGCCTTTTTAACGTGGGCATTTCCTGAGCCATTAGGCTCGGCCAAAAATATGCCCATTGAACCCGTATAAACGGGTTCAGGGCCGGTTTTAACTCCCCGAAGGAGACTCCGCCCTTTGGTGTAGCCTCCTTCGGGTTCCTCCCTTCCGTAGGAAGAGAGTACAACCGAACAGTCGCTCAGAAAGTACTGGGTCGACTGACTCATTTCTATGTTGGGGACAAGTGTACATAGTTTTATATAATTTTGTGAATGTCTTAGCAGTATGAAAATGTATTTGTGAAGAAAGTATGTTTGTCATTCTTTAAATTTGAGCTATTCTGAGCGAGTCAGAATGACTTATTTCCCTTTATAATCGACCAATAGGAGGTTGACCAATTGGAAGCCGCACAACACGGTATTCGTCGTGTATAAAGGCGGCCATCTTGTTTCCTCTACCGGAAGGACCAAAGGCGCCCAGGAGAAAGATGAACTACACTCTGCTGTGATATCCACTGCGAACCTGCACTACGCTTTCCTACTGTCTCCGAAATATTCACTGCCAAACTCTGGATTCTATACTCGAGGACGACCGTCATGAAAATGTATAACATTCCTCTCTTGCACAACATCCACATTAAGATAAATTTGTGAAAGCCTTCTGGAATGATAAATCGAAGAGTGGAGTATGATATCAAGTTTGGTACATTCGCTTACGCGATATTCAGTATTGCCATATTAATTGGAATCCCCTAGATTACCCTAGATTTTTGTGCTGGGGGCATGTCAGTATAAAAAATGTTTAGACACACTATCATCGCCCAGTGTTTTAAACCACTTCTGATGTTTAAGTAAATAGTATTAATTGAAAGACAATTATATAAATTTTGTTGCGCTTGATTACAAGATGAGTTTATGTATATATTCCTGTGATGAGGTATTATGTACACTATTTACATTATTCGCCAAATTGATTACAACGCCTCGGCCGTTGTACGCTCTAGCTTTCTTCAGGTGATTGAAATGTTGAACTGAACCCTTTATTTCTAGTTCCACGAACCAGGTTTAATGGATGTCTGTTATCAGTTATCTCCTGGTAATTCCCCTCACCAAGTTCTCCACCGCCTTAACCGGGTATTGAACTCACACTCTTTGCGTCTTGTCACTGGATCTAACTAACGCCTTTATCCCCTGTGCCATGTGTCCTTGCCATTTATTGGTATTATAAACCTAATGTCTTCAGCAACCATTTTTAGTTAGATACAGACACACACGCACACACACACACGTGCGAGCAATTTAATAGATCACGTTAAAACATTGGTTCCCGTAGAATTAGAGAAGTTAAGCAACGTTAGTACCTATGGGGGACCGCTTGGGAATGTTTTAAGAGTGGATGTGCGGGTCGTTTTATTCATAATGACACGGAATTATTAATCATAAAGTTCCAATTCCATTTGGCTTAATTATACTCATTTACATGCAAATACCGTTCGAGAAAGGCATGAATCCACTGCTTCACAGCAATGGATTAATTATTAAGACTTTCATCACTAAATTATTACCCCTACCCACCAAAATTGATGCCAAAAGTATTTTCTGGCTTTAAAGATACTGTAAACGGTAGAAAATCCCTAGAGAACGAATCTATCATTCAACCAATCAATCACAAAAACATTTATATATATATATATATATATATATATATATATATATATATATATGTGTGTGTGTGTGTGTGTGTGTGTGAGTGAGAGCGTCTGTGTCTGTGTGCGTAGGTAAGTAAAAGGCTAATATTAATATTTCAAACATTTTGCTGTAAATATATATTGTTAGTCATTTTATTATAAATAATTATCGTTGGTGCTTTTACAATAAATAAGTATTTCATACTTTCATGAAGTTTTCTGTTTTGTTTGGGGCTCAGTGTTTGTCAGTCTCTAAAATTCTAGTAGGTGCTAACATCTAGGTTCTGGATAGACCTAGAAATAACAGCAATTAAGTTGCGGTTCTACGCTCCCCAAAACCTCAAATCTGCCGACCAGAGGCCTTGCTGTCAGATTTAGTCTATCTTCATAACCCGGACTTAGAAACTCCGACGTTGTACTGGTTTCAGAAATCAATAAGCTTTTTAAATATGATATTTTCAATTACCCCTAAAATATAATATTTAAAGACTCACACAATACGAAAACCAATCACGATAAATATAGATAGATTTTAAGTAAACATATCGCGTTGATATAATGCGTACGTAAGTGGAGATAACAGTGTCTTACTCGAATACTTCCAAAACCTCGAACGTCGATAGTAAGACAAATAACACCCTCATTTCCTTAGCAGTTCAGAAAGTAACATATTAACTCCGTGATGATAGGAATATCGAAAGTAGGATAGTTTTCAATGTCAATTTGGTGTCTGGGCAAAAATGGCTGATACTAGCGACGTTGATAATTGGTCTAACGCTCTTGACTTGAAACGAGTGAAGCACGTCATTGAACAAATTACTAGAATGGCGTCTGATGTAAATGAAACTGGTCGATATCTTCTCGCAAATGTAAACTTTTAAATGGCCCGGCGGCTTAGATCTAGCAAATAGAATTGAAAGGAATGTCGAGTGGTAAAAGTTGGAAGAGCAGAAAAACTGAAAGATCGAAAAAGAAAAAAAAAAACAAAAAACAAGACAACGGGATAAGAAAGACAGACAGAAATTGGAAGGAAATTAAAATAAGAGGAAAACTAATGAGAAGTGGTGAGTTAAAATGGCTTGGAAACGCTAAAATAATGATTAAATAATAAAAAGGAATTAAAAATAATATATATATATATATATATATATATATATATATATATATATATATATATATATAAAATCTAGGACAAAGTCTAAAAAGAGCGTGAAAAAAATCCGACAAGAGACAAACAAGGAAATAAATGCCTCCGCAAAAATTGATGGAATCGGAGAGGAAGATAAGAAATATAAAAGTGAAATGAGATAAAGAAACAATTGTAAAAAAATCTGCTGAAATGTCAAAAAAATGGAAATAAAAATAAAAAAAGGTAAGCAGGAGGATAAATTAACAAAAAAGAAGAAAAATGGAGAAAAAGAACAACAAAAAAGGAAAAGAAAAGCATAAAATACAACCAAAAAAAAGGGCGAAAAATTGATAATAAAAGATAGTTAAGGGAAGAAAGATAAAAACGTAATCATAGAAAGAAGGAAAGAAAGAGGAAAAATGAAAAAGCATTTGGTGAAAAAGAGAAAAAAGAGACCCTTAGAAAGGGAGAGAGAAAATGAAAACCAACAAAACCAAAAAAAAAAAAAATGAGAACATGAAAAGAAAGAAAAAAGTAACAAAAATAAAAAAAAATCACTTAAAGGAAGAAAGAAAGGAGGAAGAGTGTCAAAAGAAGGAATGGTAAAAAGAAAAAGAAAAAAAACGCAATTAAAGGACGAAAGAAGGAATAAATAAGGAAAAAGAAGAAAAAAGCAGCTGACGAAATACAGAACGAATAAAAGAGTTAGAAAGAAAGAAAGAAGGAATAAAAAGTTAGGAAGAGAGAAAAACCAGAAAATAAGCAGGTAAAGAAAGAAAGAAAGAAAGAAAGAAAGAAAGAAAGAAAGAACAAGAATAATGTAAAGGAATTGCGAGGATTAAATCAATGAAGACAAAGTAAAAATAAGAACTTTAGGGTAAGAAGAAAGAAAGAAATCGACGAAGGCAAGAAAGAAAGAAAGAAAGAAAGAAAGAAAGAAAGAAGGAAAGAAATAAATAAAAGAAAGTAAGTAATAATAATAATAATAATAATAATAATAAGAAGAAGAAGAAGAAGAAGAAGAAGAATGTAAATGAATCCAAAGATTAAAACAATGAACAAGAAGTAAAAAAAAAAAAAAAACGTTCGGAAGAGAAAGAAGAAAGAAGACATGGAAAGCAAGAAAGAAAGCAATGAAGAAAGAAAGAAAGAAAGAAAGAAAGAAAGAAAGAAAGAAAGAAGAAAATTATTTTCTTGGTGTGTTCATAATGTGGTGTATCTTAGGCGTGTTAACCTGGCGGAGACCTGCATCGAGGTCCTTTGCCCAGAGGTAACGTGTTAACTTTACCCGAGCCCGTCAGTTTTGGCCGCCGGCTGAAACGGTTGATCGGGTCATAGTAACTTGGAGGCATCAGGTGATATATTTAGATTGTTGTGGTATATAAACATTTATATATAATTTTCTCTTATAGTGTTGAATATCAAAAGTCCGATATGGCTGAGGGTGCATATAGAAAGAGAAAACATGAGGCAGCAAAAGTGGAGAAGGATCTTACCTTCGACGAGACATATGATCAAAGGGAGTTTCAAGCAAATCAGAAACAAGAGACGCACTTAAAATCCGCAGGGGTCCCGATCTGACGAACTTATTTAAATAGATGGCAGAACATGTACTGAGAGTCATTTAAAAAAATGAAAAAAAAAAAAAATCACAAACAATGCTCAGAGCTATTATCTTGTTACATGAATTCCTTTATAATTTATACTTTATTTTTTATATGTATCTCAATCTATAAAAGGCGGTGTGTGTGTGTGTGCGTGCGCGCGCGCGCGTGTGTGTGTGTGTGTGTGTAAAGAATGCACGGCCGCACTGGTCGACGGATTTCCATCAAAATTTACATGCACATGCTCCAAGTTAGCGGGAAGGCCAAGACCGACAGTATATTTCCCAACTCCCACAGGTAGTGGAAATAATCGATTTTTCATGCTTCTACGGCAGTTTTCATGTAGTTCGCGGCCATTTTCTACTGGCCAGAATGAGAGCCTATCGCTGGCTGCCACCAATAGGCAGGAAGATTCAATTGGCCAGCATTAGAGCCAACAGCTGACTGACACGAATGTTAACTAGCATGCTAACATGCAAAAAATAAATCGATAGCTGCATTTGTCACAAGTGGGAAAAAATTAAATCCACATGGCACTTTACTCCAATTGGCTCATTCGCTTGCTTAAACTCAACGTTGATTCTGATTCCGTAGAACTGGGTTGGGTGTGAAAAATTATATGTTGTTAACATTATTTTTTCATTCGGTTTTTCCAGTTACGAGTCTTTTTTTAAAGCTGATCGTTTTGTGCTCATTTTGTTTAGTTCTTTTTTCGTAACAGATTTAATGTTTAGTATAGAGCTTAGAAAAAATTCTAGCTGTGAAATAAGCAAAAAGTAAGGCATGTAGCAACATCAGCACGGCAAAGGGCACTCCTTTAAAGGCAAGGTTCGGCAAAAATATTTTAAGTCAAGTGATAGCGATTGCTGTATGAGTTGTACGATTTTTGAAACAAGCACGGGCAACGCCAAGCCATACAGCTAGTTTTTTTTACTAACAGTTCTGAATAATAATTCAAAAAAGTATTCTTTTCTCTGCTTGGCATTCACGTAAAAATACCATTTTTGTCCCTTGTGATAGTGGGATAAATGAATCTTTCTGTATATCCACGCCAGATATCGTGCAAATAAACTGGCAGCAATAGAGGAACGCTGGTGTTCGTTTCTCTTGTGCGTTGCAGGCATGCGCAATGTTTCTGGACCTTAACACTTCAGCGAAGACGAAGGACATTTACTTGATTTCATCTCAGGCCTTGAGATGAGTTTACTATACTGTACAATAGATAAAACTTTGAGGTACATGATAAATTGAAAGCGTTAGCTTCCTTTGCGAGTCGACAGCAAATGTAATCCGTACAACAAAACACAAAGAAGATGCAATAACGAAAAGTTTAGCTAGTAAATCTTATTTAACAGCGATATATTTGTAGGCAATGTGAACCTCTCTGTCGATTTATTACTGGTGCTATTAAACATGACTATACGCTACACAGACGGAATCATGTTGATGTTAGAATGAAAATACAAATATTATAGAAAACTTTCGAGGATATAATGTGAAAATGTTTCCTGTATGAAGACGAGGGCATTTAGTTAGCAAAATGGACACTCCAAATTAATAGTTACAATTCAGGAACGTCCAAATTAACCAACTGTGTAAATTCAGCAAAGACGACGAAATGTTTGACGCTACTATTGGGAGGTATATGAATAGTAGATAATTCTTTTCATTAGAGGAATATTGTAGGCTGTCAGAGAAAGAGATGTGCAGAAAATCCGAGATAACGTTGTAAGGAAAGGCACGGGAAATGGACAAACCATAAAATATAATTGGACATAAAATAGACTTGTTAAGAATCGAGACATTCACAAGATGCGCGTTACAAAGTGGAGAAGTTAGAATTGATCAAATCAAGAAATTTAACTATCTGGGAAGAGTAACATGTGAAAACGGACATTGAGACACTGAAATCTCACTGCACTGGAATGGCGAGATATGCCTTGTAAAATCTATACTAAAGACAAAAAATTATAAAAAGAAAAAATACTGAACTGCTAAGTAATATTAATATATGAGCAGCACCAGGGAATTTCAAGTAAAACGGAAGCAAGTAACAACCTTAAAGCGGCGGGGGCCACGATCAGACGAGCTTATATAAATGGATAGCAGAACATATAGTGAAAATTATTTATATTTATATATATATATATATATATTAAAGACATTTTTATTTTTAACATTTTTTTTTTTATAGATACAAGTATTTAAGTAAATGCTCTGTTTATAATAAACAGTATTAAATAACATTTACCGGCCTGAATGTCCGAGGAATTTTCATAGAAAATATTCGTCCTTTGACTGGATTCGAACCAGCATCCTATACGGAACCGTCATTTAGCTTGACGTGCCTAACCTCTCGGACACAAAGGATTTTCTATGAAAATTTCTCGGACATTCAGGCCGGTAAATATTATTTAATACTGTTTATTATAAACAGCATTTACTTAAATACTTGTATCTATATAAAAAAATAAGAATGTTAAACATAAAAATGTCTTTAATAAATTGTCGGACTTTATCCATTTCTTAAGATATATATATATATATATATATATATATATATATATATATATAAAACAAAAAAAAAAAAAATGACAGATAGTGCTCAGAGCTATTAGTCTTGGTTTTGTTTTGTTTGTGTTACGGCATATCAACACCTCAATGAGTTATTTAATGCCGACAAGATTTTTATTGCTTGTAATAAATATTTTTTTTCAAAAAATGTATTGCGGGTAATAATTAAAAAAATGTATTATTGGTATTAAATCCTATTTTTACCCTTTCATAGTGTCTCGATTCCAGATTGTGTGTTAAATATTTGCCCATAGTTGGGACCGTAACAGGTGTTAACACCCTTGGTCAGGGTTGACCTGGGAACAACAGCAATTAAGAGGTAGCTCCAAGTACTTCAAAACCCCCTGACTAGAAGCATTACTGCCGGAGGTAGTTTATCGACATACACAGTAAGAGGGCTATGAGGATCCTATATCAATTGCTTTATTATTTATACTTAATTTTAATACTTATTGTTTATTGATAGTTTGGATGAATAATTCAAAAAAAAAATATTTTTTCTCTGCCTGACATTCACGTGAAAACACCATTTTTCGTTTCTGGTGATAGTGGGATAAATGAATCTTTATTATTAATTTTAAATGCTGGACTCATATGAAGAGGCGACACGAAATAATAGAAATATGATTCTGCAATTGAGAATATGACAGGCGTATCATGTGACTAACAGGGAAGAGTTAAGAAAAATTAGAACAAAGTACACAGGTGCATATGACCAGGAAAATAAAATATTTGCGACATATAATGAGGAAAGAAGGTTTGGAGAAATTCTATGCACCAAAGGCAGGCAAGTGCTGCCAGATATTAACAAATGATTGGGATATCTTCTGAGCCATGATGACCGACATCATGAACTGATCGGGAACATGATAAGTGATAGTCATCATTTTTGCTGTTTTATATATCAGCAGGGAGCAAAATCAGTACATTATGGGTTCGATATTTTAGCACACGAAATCGAGGCCCAAACAGATTTTTTATGTTTGTTTTTATTTCGGGACAAAAATGTTTTTACCTAAATGTCAAGCAGACAAAAAGAATACTTTTTTGAATTATTCATCAGAACTATGAATAAAAAAAATTACGTATAAAATTCAAACAATTTCACGAATGAGAATACCTTAAAGTAAGTTATTGATCAACACTGGGAACTACTGAGTCGATTCGGACAGGAATATCTTATTTACAAACATTTTTCAAAAAACAATTTTTCAGCTGAGTTTATCAAATTTATTTTGTAAGTAATTTGCATTTAACAGACCCACTATTTGCTGATTAAATTAAATTTTACTAGCTCCAATCTATGGGATTAAAATCCGTTTATAAATTAATGTTCAATGTTGAGATTTAATGGTGGATATGCTTATATCTTTTATGTTTACTTGGCCAAGTGACGTACTATCAAGCCGTCCTATTATTGGACATATAATCAGGAACATGGATATATTGAGAATCTTATTAAGTAATTTCTCAAAGCGATATATCTCACTAAGTTTAATAACATAATTACTCTCTACATAATCTCAAAATACTGAATTTTGTGAGAACATAACTTCTTGTTTCCGAAAAAGAATGCTTACGTTATCCACGTTCGTCTATGATCACACTTTAAGAAAAAAATCTAATATTATTTATGACGTAAGCAGATTTATTTGAATTCTTATGACGTCTTTGGAAATATATTTGGTATTTTCACGGAGCATCCTTCCTGTTTTTGAATTCGGTTTTATTCTCCTACACTGGGTACCACGAAATATAGGAATGCTGAGTTTCCCTTGCCATTTAACACAGAGATGGAGAGCAGGCGTATTCATGCCTTTAGTAAAAAAGAAGAGTTGCGAATTAGAAAGCGAGGATCTTTCTCACTCTGCTTATTGGAATGTATTTTTTTCTTACCGTAATTCCCCATGTATAATACTCATTTTTTCTAAAAAATAATAAGCAAAATTAGGGGTGCGTATTATGCAGAGATACAGAAAAATCTTTTAAAAAAATTGCAGTTTCATAGGTCGACTTCAGTTGCGAAATGATTACTCACCACAAGCATAAGACAATTTGAAACATACATTCGGCAATTTCAACGCACATAAGGATGTCAAATACAATCATTTGCATCTAACAATACTTACAAATGTAAAGTAAAAAAGAATTATCATAAAAATAAATAGGAACTCTATTATTCTATGTTTAAAACCATTTTTGTGAAAAACTACATATAGATCTGGTAGACTGCACATTTTATCGAACAAGTGCAGGTTAAACGAGTTTGCGCAGTAGGCACAATATATGTATTTCCGTTTCCTTTTAGAATCGTTATGATCGGAGATTTTGATAAATATTTTCAATGACAGATTGAATAAGAGTAGGAATACCCTGGCCGTAAAGAAATTGGAGAAGTACTTATAGGGTTTGATTACCAAACAAGGGGGCGCATTATGCAAGAGTAGAGTTCTTTTCTTACACTTTCAGCACGATTTTAGAGGTGTATATTATGGATGAAGTCGTATTATACATGGGGATACGGTATTCCTTTTCTCTCTCTCTATTTCTCTCTCTCTCTCTCTCTCTCTCTCTCTCTCTCTTGATATTCTTTTCTTTCGATCTCAATCCTTTCATTAAACTCTTTCTTTGCATTTTATTTCATTTATCTCTCTCTCTCTCTCTCTCTACTTTTCTTTCTTTCGATCTCACTACTTTTATTAGACTGTTTCTTTATTGCTTATTTATTTTGTTTCTCCCGAATTTCCATCTTCCGTTTTCACTCTTTTGATTAGACTCTTTCCTTCCCTCTTATTTCTTTTCTTTCTTTCGATTTTCCTTTCCTTGTCGATATCCGATATGCTAAAAGCTCCACGATATCTCGCATTAAATATGAAAAAGAATCATCATAAAAACTCCCAAGTTAGTCTTTACTTAAAAAAAAAAAAAAAAAAAAAACTTTATAAAATTAAACCGTTGTGGGTCATTTTAATATTTCAGCTTAGGGCGTTAACATTTAACGAGAAGAGAAAACATCGTTTTTCATATTTTCTATATTCGAAATATCTTCGTCAATGTTCAGTGCCTCAACGATGAGGCTATACCAGCAAGTGACAAACGTGGAATTAATGATGCAGATATTCTGGCTGTATTGATAGAGAGTTAACATATTTTTCTTTGGTAGTCTTCACTTTTTTCCTGTTATTTCATTGAAATTGTCTTTTTTTAATATTGTTCCATACTTTGAACTTTGGAAGCAACCCGAGTTCCAGACTCGTCTGACATTTTAAATCAGACGCCCTTCCAACAATCTATCATAAGGAATAAGAGAATGAGAATAAAAAAAAAACAGACACGTAACAATGAAGATTTTTTTCTCTTTAAAAGGAATAGAAAAAGAAAAGAACATCAGTTTTAGAGAATATAAAATAAAATAGGAATAAAGAAGAAGAAGAAGAAGAAGAAGAAGAAGAAGAAGAAGAAGAAGAAGAAGAAGAAGAAGAAGAAACTATAAGGGGAGGAAATTGGAAAAAAATCGATATAAATATAAAGAGTTGGAAATATAAGGAAATAAGATAAGGTAAAAAGAAGTTTAATAAAACAAGTGATCCCGTAATAAAGGGAAGTTGGTAGATATAAATAAGGAAAAAAAAGAAAAAAAAAAAAAAGAAAGAAACAGAAAAATTCTCTAAAAAGGAATTAGATCGAAAGACAGCAAAGACTAAGGAAGAGAAGGAAAAGAAGATGAATAGAGATCGAAAGAATGAAAGCAAGAACTTTAAAATGTTTTAAGAAGTAAAGAACGAAAAAATATGGAAGGACAGAATTCATATAAAACTAATGCAGACCATGTATTCAAAGA